GGGAGGGGCCTTTAAAGGAGACCATCTAGTCCAGCCCCTTCTGCCACATAGAAAGACACAATACGATCCCTCCCGACAGAGGGCCATCCAGCCTCTGTTTCAAAACCTCCAGAGAAAGAGACTCCACTGGACTTCATGGCAGTCAGTATTACACTACAGTAGGAAAGGGACCACAAATGTCATGTAGTCCAACCCCCTTCTCTTATGCAGAAGGACACAATCAAAGCCCTCCCGACAGATGGCCTTCCAGCCTCTGCTTAACAACCTCCAGGGAATGAGACTTTTCTGGCAACATAATCTACTGTCAAACCTCTCCAACTTTCAGGAAGTTCTTCCTAATGTTTATTTGGGGATATCTTTTCTTGCCATTTGAATCCATGCAGCCGCCTCTATTGTATTGGCTTATTTTATCTGCTGATATGGGAGTCAGAGCAGCTTAAAGCTTTAAAATATAATAATAATAGGGTGCTGTGAGTTTTCCGGGATGTATGGCCATGTTCCAGAAGCATTCTTTCCTGACGTTCCGCCCACATCTATGGCAGGCATCCTCAGAGGTAGTGAGGTCTGTTGAAAACTAGGCAAGTGGGGTTTATATATCTGCGGAATGTCCAGCGTGGGAGAAACAACTCAACACTCTGGGGAATTCCAGAGAGGAAACAATCAGGGCCAGCTAACACCTCCCAACAAAGGATTCCCCCAGGCAGGAAGCAGCTAGGCTTTGAAGGCCGTTCAATGCTACTACAGCAACAATTTTTATTGATTAGCCAATTGGCCTTATCAAAAATAAACAGTGCAGACATAACATACAACGTACAACATACATCTAGTCCTCTTAAAATAAATCCACAGATATATAATTATTATTATTATTATTATTATTAACTTTATTTGTACCCCGCGAGCATCTCCCGAAGGACTTGCTCAGTTTCCAACAAACCTCACAACTGAGGATGCCTGCCATACATGTGGGCAAAACATCAGGAGAGAATGCTTCTGGAACATGGTCATACATCCTGGAAAATGCACAGCAACCTAGTGATTCCGGCCATGAAAACCTTCAACAACACATAATAATAATAATAATAATAATAATAATAATAATAATAATAATAATAATTAATAATAATAATAATATACAATAATAATATATTATAATATAATATATTGTATTATTATTATTCCCGCTTTCTTCTCTTAAAGGAGACTCAGAGTATGAAAGCCTTCGACAACACATAATAATAATAAATATACAATAATAATAATATAATATAATATAATGTATTATTATTATTATTATTATTATTATTATTTCCTACCTTTTTCTCTTAAAGGAGACTCAGAGCATGAAAGCCTTTGACAACACATAATAATAATAATAATAATAATAATAATAATAATAATAATAAATATTCAATTATAATATAATATAATGTATTAGCATTATTATTTCCTACTTTCTTCCCTTAAAGGAGACTCAGAGCATGAAAGCCTTTGACAATACATAATAATAATAAATATACAATAATAATATATTATATTATAATATAATATAATATAATGTATTATTATTATTTCCTACTTTCGTCTCTTAAAGGAGACTCAGAACATGAAAGTCTTCGACAACACATAGTAGTAGTAATAATGATAATAATAATAATAATTACAATAATATTATAATATATTATTATTTCCCACTTTCTTCTCTTAAAGGAGACTCAGAGCAGCTCACAACACTACAAAAAGTCCAAATTACAGCCTAGCACAAATAAACATTAAAATAGAATTAAACACAGAATAGTTTAAACAAAGTGTAGAACAGTAGTCTACACTTGCAAGGGTCAGGGTGACAGGGTCCCTGCAAAGCTGCCAATGTAAATAAGGTCCCGGAATGCTATTTTTGTGACTTGTGCAAAAGTCCTGCATCAGGGAGCCCTGGCGGAGGGCGAGGCATGCTGGGTTTTGTAGTCCTAAATCTGCCTTGTGAAGACTGAGGCCCCATGACGCGCTGAAAACCGGCTTTCAAGGGATTGCAAATGTCATAAGGCCTTCTTAGGCAAGGAATAAGACGTCAAAGCGGTTGGGCAGGTTCTTTCCTCCTGTACTTTTATTTTTGCGCCAATTCAATTAACCAGCCAATTAAATGCTGTGCAATTAAGGGAGGGCTCCCTTCTCCACATGTAGACCTGTGCAGATCCAACCCTGGCTGCATCTACACCAGGCATGGGCAAACTTGGGCCCTCCAGGTGTTTTGGACTCCGACTCCCACCATTCCTAACAGCCTCGGGCCCCTTCCTTTGGAAGGGGCCCGAGGCTGTTAGGAATGGTGGGAGTCGAAGTCCAAAACACCTGGAGGGCCCAAGTATTCCTATTCCTGATCTACACTGTTGAATGATGCCTGTCTATGCTTTGGGATGTTGTATTTGCATTGTGGTTGAGGCAGCAGAAGAGGAGGCTGAAGACCTTGCCAAGGGCAATTAAAAGTGGTGCCAAACCGCATTAAATCTGCAGTGCAGATGCACCCACTTCCATAGCTGTTTCGGGGGGGGGGGGATGTTCTGGGAAGACTTAATGATTGCCTCTGTGCCGAAGCTTTGGGGTTTTAAAGAGCCAGAAAAACTGCTTGACAAGGAAGCAAAAGGGAGGGACGGCAGAGGTCATGCCAACTGGTTTATGCAGTCAGGCAAGGAAGGAAGGAGAGAACGAGGAAGGATGGATGGAAGGATGGAGGGCACCATCCAAGCCCTCCTGACAGATGGGCATCCAGCCTAACCTTGTCATTATTATTATTATTATTTTATTATTATTGATGATAATGATACCATAGAATCCTAGAGTTGGACCCCATTCAATCCCAGCCACCTTCTTCCAGACAAGAAGGCACCATCCAACCCCTCCCAACAGATAGCCATCTACTTGAAATCCTCCAGAGAAAGAGAGTTCATATATCACTAGTTCAAAGGGAGCCCCCCCACCCCAAAATTGCCAACCAGTCCCTCCCTCTTCAGCCATATGGGAAGACACATTCAAAGCCCTCCCGACAGATGGCCATCCAACCTATGCTTATCGTCATCATCATCATTATTATTGATGATGATAATGATAATAATACCATAGAATCCTAGAGTTGGATCCCATCCAATCCCAACCACCTTCTTTCAGTCCGGAAGGTACCTTCTTCCAGTCAGGAAGACACATTCAAAGCCCTCCCGACAGATGGTCATCCAGCCTATGCTTATCGTCATCATCATCATTATTGATGATGGTGATAATAATACCATAGAATCCTAGAGTTGGACCCATTCAATCCCAACCACCTTCTTCCAGACAGGAAGGCACCATCCAATCCCTCCTGACAGATAGCCATCTCCTTGAAATCCTCCTGAGAAGGAGAGTTCACGCCCAAATAGTCTATATATCACTAATTGAAAGGGATCCCCAAATGCCATCCAGTCCCTCCCCCTTCTGCCATAGGGGAAGACACATTCAAAGCCCTCCCAATAGATGGCCATTCAACCTATGCTTATTGTCGTCATCAATATTATTGATTATGGTGATAATAACAATAATAATAATAATACCATAGAATCCTAGAGTTGGACCTTATCCAATCCCAACCACCTTCTTCCAGACAGGAAAGCACCATCCAATCCCTCCCGACAGATAGCCATCTCCTTGAAATCCTCCAGAGTTCACGCCCAAATAGTCTATATATCACTAATTGAAAGGGATCCCCAAATGCCATCCAGTCCCTCCCCCTTCTGCCATATGGGAAGACACATTCAAAGCCCTCCTGACAGATGGCCATCCAGCCCATGATGATCATAATCGTCATTATTATTATTGATGATGATGATGATAATACCATCGAATCCTAGAGGTGGATCCCATCCAATCCAACCCCCTTGTGCTATGAATCAAGGCACCATCAAAACCTTCCTGACAGATGGCCATCCCCGACTCTGCTTAAAATAATCCAGAGAAAATGTTGTTATTTGATACACAACAAGACTAGCACACAGCAAACAAGATCACTATGCTGGCTGTTGTATTGGATCACACATCAGTGTCTAGGATTATGTGATGTATCAGCAAAAATGCGTGCAGATTCGGGTAAGGTGGCAGATAGTAATTTTGTCAGTGCCGATTGTGTTTAAGTGCAGGCCAAGATCTTTAGGTGTCGCACCCAGTGTGCCGATCACCACTGAGACTACCTTGCCTGGCTTGTGCCAGAGTCTTTGCATTATTATTATTATTATTATGGTGGCCTTTTGTAGCTGACAGATAGTAATTTTGTCAGCGCTGATTGTTTTTAAGTGCAGGCCAAGGTCTTTCGGCGCTGCACCCAGTGTGCCGATCACAATGAGACTCTAGGACAGGCCTGGGCCAAATTGGGCCTTCCAGGTGCTTTGGACTCCAACTCCCACCATTCCTGACAGCCTCAGGCCCCTTCCTTTTCCTTTCCTTTTCCCCCTCAGCTTAAGCGGCTGAGGGGGAAAAGGAAAGGGCCTGAGGCTGTCAGGAATGGTGGGAGTTGGAGTCCAAACCACCTGGAAGGCCCAATTTGGCCCTAAATGATAGAATCCTAGAGTTAGAAGGGCCCCCAAAGGCCATCCAGTCCAACCCCTTTCTTCCAGGCAAAGCACTCCCAGCACCTGCTTAATAATAGTCGGAAGACACCCCAGGGCAACCCCATTTCTGCCAAACAGGAAGACACAATTCGACCCCTCCCGACAGATGGCCATCTAGCCATAGCTAACACTGGGAAAGAGAATGGTTGAGAGAGATCTAGAGTTGTAAGGGGTCCCAAAGAGCCACCCCATGCCTGCCATTGAGGGGAGCACCACCCGACCCCTCCCGGCAGATGGCCATTCAAACTCCAGAGGAGGGGACTCTTCTTGACTCTAGTTTCTGATGGAGTTCCATTGTGTCCCAGTCTCAGAAGCAGCTTCCCTCCCATTTAATAAGGGACCCTATCCTGGAGGAAGGGAGGGGGCGCTCACCTTCAGGCCTCCTTCCTTTCGGGGGGCGAACCCCGGCCCAGGAGACCCTCTTCCCTCCGTCCGCTCTGGAGTCCGTGCCTCTCGCCTCCAAAGGCAGGAGGAGGAGGAGGAGGATCAGGAGGGGGCGGGGCTTCTGTACTGGTGGGCGGGGCTAGGAGAAGGGGCGGGGCCACGGCTCTCAGGATCCCTCCCTCCCTCCCTGAAACCAAACTACATCCATTCCAGTGTAGTACAGCCATAGGCAAACTTCAGCTCTCCAGGTGTTTTGGACTTCAACTTTCAAAATCTGTTAGGGATTGTGGGAGTTGAAGTCCAAAACACTTGGAGGGCCCAAGTTTGCCCATTCCTGGACTAGAGGGAATGAAAGAAATGTTACTGTAAATAAATGTATGTCAAGAGGACTGGACACAGTCATTTTATGTATCCCACAACTTTGAACCCGAAACATTAAAGCCTGCATCCTTTGCGCAACATGAAAAACAATTACTATTATTATCACAATTGTTGGGATAAGAAATTATTATTATGGTAAGATATTATTATCATTATTATTTATTATTATTGGGGTAAGAAAATATTATTATTGGGGTAATAAATTATTATAATAAGACATTATTATTAGGGCAAGAAATTATTATTGTAAGATATTTTATTGGGGCAAGAAAATATTATTGTAAGATATTATTATTGGGGTAAGAAATTATTATTATTATTATTATTATTATTATTGGGGTAAGAAATTATTATTATTATTGTAAGATATTGGGGTAAGAAATTATTATTATTATGGTATGATATTATTGGGGTAAGAAATTATTATTATTATGGTATGATATTATTATTGGGGTAAGAAATTATGATTATTATGGTCAGATATTACTATTATTATTGGGGTAAGAAATTATTATTATTGGGGTAAGACATTTTTATTATAAGATATTGTTATTGGGGCAAGAAATTATTATTATTATTATTATTATTATTGTAAGATATTATTATTATTGGGGTAAGACATCATTTTTAAATTATTGGGGCAAGAAATTATTATTATTATTATTATTGGGGTAAGAAATTATTATTATTATTGTAAGATATTATTATTGGGGTAAGACATTATATTCTTATTGGGACAAGAAATTATTGTAAGATATTATTATTATTGGGATAGGACATTATTTTTATATTATTATTGGGGCAAGAAATTATTATTATTATTATTATTATTGTAAGATATTATTGGGGTAAGAAATTATTATTATTGTAAGATATTATTATTATTGGAGTAAGAAATTATTATTATTATTATTATGGTAATTTATTATTATTATTATTATTATTATTATTATTATTATTGGGATAATAAAATATTATTATTATTAGATATTATTATTGGGGTAAGATATTATTATTATTAATAATAATAATATGGTAAGAAATTATTAGCATTAGTATTGGGGTAAGAAATTATTATTATTATAAGAATTATTATTATTATTATTATTATTGGGTAAGAAATAATATTATTATTGTCAGAGACCCTGGCCTTCTTTGGCAGCCCATTCTGGGCCCAAGTTGCCCCTCTCAGCCAGACGCTCCCTAAGTGGCCCCTCATTTGAGCCCCCTCCCACCCACCTCCCTTTGGCAAATAAACCCAATGGTCAGTCCCATCCCCTCCTTTCTGCCACCTGGGCAACCGCAAACATGGCATGTTGGCAATGTTCCTGGAGAGGCCCCTTGTTCCCTTTTTTTCTGGCCTCTCGGCCTTTGTCTTGGGTCAACAGAGGAGGGAGGGGACGGGGCCCAAGACCCCCCTGGCTTCAATGGCTGGAAAAGGTTTATTTGTTTTTGCTCGACTTCTAATCCCCTTTTCTACACTCACCCCCTCCAAAGGCAGTAGTCGGGAAGGGGCAAAAAGAGACCCCCAGGATAAAAGTTTCCTTTTGAACCCAAGTTTCTTGCACTGCAGAAAATTTCAAAGGTTTGGACATCCAAAGGAAAGGGGAGAGTAAAGTGAACACGGAGGGGACTGAGCACAAATAAAGTGGATTTCTTTCCTATGGCTTTCATTAATTGAATGCCATCGGAAAGGGGCTCTTGTAGGAGGAAGAACCAGTTTCCAAGGGCAGGGAGTTCCAGAGGCGCCCCACTTTCCCAATCAGGTCCCTATCCCAGAATCCCCCAGCCGCATTGGCGCCTGGACCCAGATGCTATCAGGTGTGTTTGCTCATGGAGGTGATGTATGTTCCTGGCACGGCTTTGGTGTGTTTGTGAAAGGAGAGAGGGAGGGAGGGAGGGAGGAGGAGGACTCCATACAGAGGAGGGCAGGGGAGACTCTGCAGGGTCACCCTCTGGAGTCCCCTGGATCACCCTTTCGAGGACCCCAGGTGAAAGGTCAGGGGTGGGGGCCCCTCTGAAGTCACCGTCAAGACATGGTTGGAGCCAACAGAACAAAGGGATCCCCAAAGGCCATCTAGTCCAGGCATGAGCAAACTTGGGCCCTCTAGGTGTTTTGGATGTCAATTCCCACAATTCCTAACAGCCTTGGGTCTCCCCCCCCCCCCTCAGCTGCTCTGGCCATCTGTCGGGAGGGGTCGAATTGTGTCTTCCTTTTTGGCAGAAATGGGGTTGTCTTCCAACTATTATTAAGCAGGTGCTGGGGGTGCTTTGCCTGGCAGAAGGGGGTTGGACTAGATGGCCTTTGGGAGCCCCTTACAACTCTATAATTCTATCATTTAGGGCAAAATTGGGCCTTCCAGGTGCTTTGGACTCCAACTCCCACAATTCCTAACAGCCTCAGGCCCCTTCCTTTTCCAAATTTGAAAAGGAAAGGGCCTGAGGCTGTTAGAAATGGTGGGAGTTGGAGTCCAAAGCACCTGGAGAGCCCACATTGGTCCAGGCCTGTCCTAGAGTCTCATTGTGAAGAGACAAAGCGGGGTATTATTATTATTATTATTATTAATAATAATAATAATAATAATACAAAGACTCTGGCACAAGCCAGGCAAGATGGTCCTAGTGGTGATCGGCACACTGGGTGCAGCGCCTAAAGACCTAGGCCTGCACTTAAAAACAATCGACGCCGACAAAATTACTATCTGTCAGCTACAAAAGGCCACCATAATAATAATAATGCAAAGACTGGCAAAAGGGTCCCAGTGGTGATTGGCACACTGGGTACAGTACCTAATGGTGGGAGTTGGAGTCCAAAACACATGGAGAGCCGAAGTTTCCCCATGCCCGATCTAGTCCAACCTCTTTGGTCCGGTAGGAAGACCTTGCTAAAGATGCCCACCCCAGAAAGGTCATAGAGTTAGAAAGGGCCCCCCAAAGGCCATCTAGTCCTATCTGTCAAGACAAAATCAAACACAAGCAAAGCACTTGTGGAAGAGACCCATCCAACCTCTGCCTTCCAAAGCTGATTATTACACCCAGGAGGAAGGAAAAAGGGGAAGGGAAAAAGGGGTTGGAGTTTCCCAGGCAGCACCTAAGGAAGGTGCCCATAAAGCTGTCCAGCCCAGGGTGACAAATGATGGGAGAGTGATGTTGGAGGCCACGGAGCAGGAAAGGGGAGGGCGTGGGGGCTCCGTTCCCATAGGCCGTGGTCCAGGAAGGGGTCCTTCCCAGCTGCCTGTGCCCCTCCTGACCCTGCGCTGCTTTCCATGTCCTCCTTGCAGGGCCCTGATCCCGCTCTTTGACTCCAGCACCGGCCTCCTCCTCCTGGCAGGGAAGGTGAGTGAGTGAGTGAGTAAAAATGGCATTGGAGGGAAGGTCAAGGAGGCAGGGGCCAAAGCCTGGCTCGCACTGACCCCTGCCTTTCCTCAGGGGGAGAACGTCCTCTTCTGCTACGAGGTCCAGACTGGGCAGCCAGCCCTGACGAAAGGTAAGGCACCCTCAGAACGCTCTCAGGGCATTTGGGGCAAAGGCCACATTGGGGCTGACCTCCATGGCCCCTTCCTCCATCCCCTTCCTCTCTCCCTCTGCTGACCAGTGACGCAGTGCCTGACGGAGGGCCGGTCCCTGGGAGTAGCCCTGGTGCCCCGGCCAGCGCTAGACGTCATGGCTTGCGAAGTGATGCGGGCCTTGCAGCTGAGCGACAACGGTGCCATCGTCCCCATCAGCGTCCTGGTGCCCAGGAAGGTCAGTGCGGGGCCTGAGTGGAGAAGAGATGTGGAGGGGAAACCGAGGCACAGACTGCTTGACGACATACCCTATTGACTCAAATCTAATGCTCACCCTGTTTGGCTAAAATGACGTTCCCAAAAGGAGCTCCTGGTGGCAGGACTGCTGACCGAAAAGTTGACGGTTCGAATCCAGGGAGCGGAGATGAGCTCCTGTCTGTTAACTCATGAATTTAGAGCCCCTAGTGGTACAATGGGTTAAACCCTTGAGCTGGCAGGACTGCTGACCGAAAGGTCAGCGGTTCAAATCCAGGGAGAGGGATGAGCTCCTGTATGTCAGCTCATGAATTTAGAACCCCCGGTGGTACAATGGGTTAAACACTTGTGCTGGCAGGACTGCTGACCGAAAAGTTGACGGTTCAAATCCGGGGAGCAGTGTGAGCTCCTGTCTGTCAGCTCCAGCTTCTCATGCAAGGACATGAAAAAAGCCTCCCACAGGATGGTAAAACATCCAGGTGTCCCCAGGGCAATGTCCTTGAGACGGCAAATTCTCCCACACCAGAAGCAACTTGCAGTTTCTCAAGTCGCTCCTGACATAAAAAAAAACTTTCCAAAATGAGGCTGAGCATTAGATTCATGTCATATGGTGATCTTAGAGCTGAGTCAAAGGGGAAGCTGCTTCAGGAGTTCCTCTTTGAGGGATCTCATCTCTCCTTTAGTTGGATTGATTCAACCCTGGGATTTGTAGTTTGGTGAGGCACAAGCATCCTTTGGCAGAGAAGGCTCAAGGCCTTGTCAAACTACTGCCCCCGTGATTCCATAGCATTGAACCAAGGCAGTTAAAGTGGATTCATTCTGCAGCGCTGATGCACCCCAATGTGTTATTTCCGTTGATGGAAGCCTTGGTGTTCTTTTGTTTTTAAAGAAGGAATTCAAATCAGGCAGCACCTGAAATGGCCAAATTACAAAGAGTGCACTTTTGGCCGTTGTGCATGAC